TCCCCAGCCCTTTTTGGTCTTTTTGAGACAGGGTCTCCCTATGCAGTTCAGGCTGGCCTTGAGCTCACTTTGTAGCCCAGGCTGGTCTCAAACTCGCAAGGATCTTCCTGCCTCAGCCTCCCGAGTGCTGGGATTACAGGCATGCACCACAGAATTGATGGTGGTCCAAGTGATGTACCTGTCCCTGCTCCCTTAACCCTTTGTGACTCTATGATCTGTTGTGGTTGTCAAAATGTAATCCTGGACGTGCAGCATCAACATCACTTGGGAATTTCTTAGAAATTCACATTCTTGAGCTGGGCGAGGTGGCACACAGCTGTAACCCCAGCACTCTGGAGACTGAGGCAGAAAGACTACAAATTCAAAGCCAGTCTGAGCCACATAGTGAGCTCAAGGCCAGCCTGAATTTGCATAGAAAACCCTGTCTTATCCCCATCCCCGCTACTTTAAGACATCCCTCCTCACGCCTGCTCGAGCAGACACGTAGGACCCAGGAACCTGTGGTAACAAGCCCTTTGGTTCAAATGAGCCTTACAGTTTAACATAAACCTGGGGAATGGCCTGGCTTTTGTGCTCATTCCTTAAACCTGACCTGAGCAGGGTGTCTCACTGAAACCTGATGCATAGCACTGCATCTGATAAACTAGACCATTCACCCCCATGCTGCTGGGAATAAAGGTAATGGGGTCTCTTTACTGGGTATCTGGGGAAGGAGCGCAGCACAAGAATGGCTACATTGTTGAGAGGTTCCCTCCTCCTGCCTTCACGCCTCTGCAGCCTTCCAGGCTGCCCCACCTGGGTCCTTCCGCTTTTCTGTCCGCTCTCACCCTGGGTCTGCTTTCTGTGGCCATCTGCTGCACTGCCAGAGGTTTTTGCCAATCTAAACATAGCTGGCCAGCTCCGTCCACCGTCCTGTGCCTGTTGCTCTGTGCTGCCTGACAACCTGGTCCTTATTCCTGTGAACAGTGAGGACAACCTGGTCCTTATTGATTGAACTACAGGGCCAGGGATATAGCTCAGTGGCACAAGCACCTCCCTGGCAAGCGCAAGGTCCTGAGTTCGATTCCCAGTACAAAAAAAAAAGTGCCTGCTTGATTGAACTACACCACAGTTGTGGTGTAGTTCAAGCAATAAAATTTCAGCAAGCTATGTTTGGCTTTGCCATGTCCTAGCCAGTGATTGTCAATCTAGGCTGCCTCAGAGGGTTGTCTTGGCTTTAAAAGAAAAAAAAACAAAAAAAAAATACCAGCTACCTGATGCCCTGCCCCAAAAATGCATGGTTTTTATTGGTAGTCCACCAGGGGCATCAAGATTTTTTAAAGCTTCCCAGGTAAATTATTCTGCGCAGTCCACACTGTAAACTACTGCTCAGAACAGTGCCTCAGAAGCTCGACAGTGCTTGTCATGGCCTGGGGAGGGCCTGAGCCTTTCCGTTTCTAAGAGGTGCCAAAAGACGGGAGCAGGAAGGCTGTGCCATTTAATGAGGGAGGCCACTTGCTATATCATTCTCTCATAAGCTCTTCCAAATCTTAACTCTTCTCAAATTTTTCTGTCTTTTAAGATTTCCTAGCCTGGCTCAGTGACACACACCTATAGTCCCAGCGCTCAGGAGGCTGAGGCAGGAGGATCACCATGAACTCCAGGCCAGCCTGGGCTACATAGTGAGTTCAAGGCCAGCCTGAACTACACAGCGAGACCCTGTCTCAAAAGAGCCAAGAAAAAGAAAAGAATAAATTCCTGCCAGTAAGAGTAACATCCCTGTCCCCAAAGCTGACACTCTCTTTTGCTTTGGATTCCAGTCCACTGCTTGATCCCAGGGCCTTCACACTGAGCTACATCTCCAGCCCTTTCCGTTTTTTATTTGAGGCAGGATCTTCATAAGTCACTAAGTTGTGCAGGCTGGACTTAAAGTTGCAACCCTCCTGCGTCCACCTCCGGAGCGCTGGGATCACTGGCGTGCGCCTCCCCGCCCAGTTTATGGCTCCCTTTCCTTTGCCGTGCTTTTGGTCACCTTTTCCAGATTACTACTAGACTTGCCACCTGCGTGCTCTGCTGCCATTCTTCTGTGCTCAGTTTGGTCTGCTGCTGTTGTATTTACTTTAGGCGCTGGGGATCACAAGTTCAAGCCCAGCCTAGGCAATTTAGTCAGACCCTGTCTCAAAAAGGGCTGGGGATATACCTAGTTCAGAGGTACAGCACCGCTGAGTTTGATCCCTAGTACTGCCCCAAAAAAGAGTCCCTTCTTAACTGTACTATTAAAATTTTTATGGGCCGCGGATGTAGCTCAGCAGCATAAGTGCTTGCCTGGCAAGCCTGAGGTCATGAGTTCAATTCCCGGTACCAAAAATAAAGTAAAATTTGTATTAATTGTGGTAACTCTCCTGTGTCCCCCCATGCCACCAGTTTAAACCAAAATGTGACCCCTTCACTTCATGGCTCACTTTGCTTCCTTGTATGTATTTATTCTGAGGGTGGCTTGCACATGTGATAGGCACACGATAGCTCAGCCAGCAGGCTATACCTCTGGCCCACTTTTATCATGGTGGTAAAAGACGCGTAATATAAAATTTCCCACTGTAACATTTCAGGGACATGTAGTGCACCCATCCATCTCCAGAATGTGTTCCTGCTCCCCAGCTGACACTCTGCGTCTTTTAAACTGACCCTCCCACTTTCCCGGAGACTCGTCACCTTTTTCCCACTGTTTGTCTCTGAGTTTGACCGTTCTGAGTGCCCACAGGTAAGTGGAGTCATAGTGTTTGTCCTTTGGGCCTCGCAGTGTCCTGTAGGCTCATCCACGCCATAGCAGGTGGCAGAGTTCCCTTCCTTTTTAAGGCCGAGTAATGGTCCACTGCAGGGCACTTGGGCAACTTCCAGCATTTAGTAACGGAATAATGCCGCTGTGAACCTGAGTGTGCGCGTGTCTATCCCAGACCCTCAGTTCTCTTGTGTTGGGTTCTTTGGGATCTGTACTCAGAAGCGGGATTGCTGGATCCCATGGTCATTCTCAGTCTAATCTTTTTTTTTTTTTTTTCCCAGTACCGGGAATCGAACTCATGACCTTGCGCTTGCCAGGCAGGTGCTATGCCACTGAGCTAAATCCCCACCCCTCTCAGTCTAATCTTTGAGGAACTGCCACACAGCTCTCCACAGCAGCTGCACCATTTTACATGCCCTCCAGCTCTGCACAAGGGCTCCAGTTTTCCACATCCACATCAGCGTTTGTCGTGTTTGTGTCTCACGGTCACCACCTTGATGGGCACAGAAAGGCTCCACCGTGTCTTTTTTTTTTTTTTCCTTCTGGTACCGAGAATCGCACTCACAACCTTGCACTTGCCAGGCAGGTGCTGTGCCACTGAGCTAAATCCCCAGCCCCTCCACCGTGTCTTGAGCAATTAGTCATCCCCTCTTCGGCAGTGGCCACTTTAAACTCAGGCCATCAGCCAAGCTCTGCCTGCCCTCTCCTAGCACACAGCCGATGTCCTAGCTGGGGTGGTCAGCGTCCTCCTGCTGTCCCTACTGCGTGAGGCCTGCCAAGCCCGTCCGCTTCTCTCTGGAACCACGAGGCGTTTTCATCTCTCCCTGTGTGTCAGGGCTCACATTTCATCCCTCACCCAAATTACTGTCCTCTCCCTGTCCTTATTCACCGGCACTCTGAGTCAGCTCTCCACTGCCTGCCGGAGAAAGCGGGAAACGTCCAGCAGCGGCCACCTCTCATGGGCCTGGCCCTGCACCCAGCGGCCTGCATCCCAGGCTGAGTGCCATCTGATGGGCTAACAGGTTCCGAAGGCAACACTGAGGTCACAGCTCGTAAGCAGAAAAACAGGGTTCACACCGGTTCCAAAGCAGTCATTTAACCCTCAGCGCAGAGCAAGTATCTCATGTGCTTCGGCTGAGGAGAGCACCACAGTGGGTGGTTTGCCTAGGGAGAAGGCAGTGGCTGGGAGCTGGGAGCTGGACCTGGCTTTCGACTCTGACGTCTGTCCAAGGCTGGTCCCTGTCTCTCCCTAGTCCTTGGCCTGACAAAGTCGTGTCCCGCCCGGATGCAAAGTGTTTGCCAGCCTTACTCTCCCCCTGCTACCTCATCCCTTGCCCCAGATGAGACCATTTCCCACTAAAGAGAGGCGAGTGTGTTTATCTCGGCCCCTGCTCTTACAATTCCGTTGACATTTTAGCCAGCCTCCTGCCCCAAATCAGTTGCCCCTTTCCCCCTGAAACCGGCAGACATCCTGAGCCAATCTTGAGTTCTGCAGCGCTGACTTCACAGCTCAGGAGTAGCGCTGGCGAGAGGGAGAGTGGCAAACCTCAGGCAGCGCTCCCACGGCGGAGGCGCTGAATGAACAAACCTGTGTCCCCGCAGGGCGCGCCTTAGGGATCATTGCAGTGTCCACTAGCTGCAGTTTAAAAACTGGGGGCCAGGGCGGAGCACTTGTTTAGCATGCAGAGCCCTGGGTTCCACCCCCAGCGCTGGGGGAAAGAAATACCTGAGACTCAGGTGCCGAAAGGAGCTCGGGCACCAAGTGTTTTACACAAGTGTTTCCACTGCATTGATTTCCATTTGTTTGTCCACCTCCCGGGCTTCCAGGTCTCCGAGTGGGAGGAGAATCTCCCTTCAGCCCCACGCTCCCTTGGCCAAATCGCTTCCAGCCTGAACTTTGACAGTCACACCAGCAACCAAGTTAAACAGCCGCCTGCTTGTGGCCTGCGAGCTCGGGCTTAAGAGGTGTGGAGGCTCTTTGAGCTTTGATTCAACACGGCCTGTCTGAAGGTTCGGAGAGGGAGAAGAGGGCTTCGTCATCACCAAGGACGAACCAGCTCCTCCTGGCCAGCCTCCTGAACCTGCTCTTCCCCGCGGCGCAGTCACCTGGCCTCTGGCTTGAGCTCCGGAAAAGGCAAAGTTCCTTCCTAAAAGCAGGTAAGTGTGGGTCTTCTCTGTGTGTCAAGCTCAGAGTTGGTAGAAGACTCCTAGCAAATAAATAGTTGCAGAGAGGAAAACACAGGCAGCGGGAAAGGGCTTCCATTTGCATCTGCTGCCCGGAGCCGGAGGGGGCAGCGGGACATGGCTTCTCCCCGACTCGGGGCCACCCCAGGCAACCTGTAGGCCAGGAAGGCGGTGACATTCCTGCCACTGAATCCAGAAGTGGCTGCTGGCTGCCAGCATGAGGGATCCTCCCTGAGAGCGCTCTCTAGCTCTGCTGGCTCCGCTAGCCCAGGACGAGGTAGCCCAGGGCCTGGGCCTCGTCCCTCAGACCCCCTGGCTCAGGTCTCACGATGTAAAGGAACAGGGATGGCTAAAGAATGCGCTGTCCTTTGCTAATGCTGGACACAGGTGACTGCAGCCCACCATGGTCCGTGTGGTCAGAAGGCACCAGGCCAGGACCTGAGGACTTCAGACAGGCTTGGAGGAGGAAGTGACGTCCAAGCTGAAACCCAGAGAACAACCTGTAATTCATCAAAGGTCGATGAGGAAAGAGTGTCCTGAGCGAAAGGGACAGTATGTGCAGGACCGTGATGGGGCTCCGGTGTGGGGCACGGAGGGAGTAGAGTCTTGCCCGGCAAGGTGTTTGCAAGGAAGTGCCCAAGGACAGGCTCAAATCCCACTCTGTCCTTGCTGTCCAGGAGGGAGACCCGAGCCGGCCAGGCTGAGCAGGGAGCGCCTGAGGCTGGGTCCGCCGCTGGATGGTGCTGGAGTGGCCAAGCAGCACTGCGGGGGAGACACTTGGGACAGGGTTTTCCTATGCGTGGCTACATGGTGAGCTCAAGGCCAGCCTGCATGACATAGGGAGACCCTGTCTCAAAAACACAAAACAAAACTGGGGCTGGGGATGTGGCTCAGTGGTGGAGAGCTTGCCTTGCAATGTCGTGAGTTCACTCCCCAGCACAAAAACAAAACAGAAAGAGAGTTTTGTTTTTTGGGTTTTTTTTTTGTCTTTTTGAGACAGGGTCTCACTATGTAGTTCAGGCTGGCCTTGAGCTCACTTTGTAGCCCAGGCTGGTCTCAAACTCGCAATGATCCTCCTGCCTCAGCCTCCCGAGTGCTGGGATTATAGGCGTGCACCACCACACCTGGCTAAAAGAGAGTTTTTAAAAAGATTAAGCATCAGCCCACAGTGTGAATTAACATATCCCACAACATAAAATGAATCAAGGTATAAAGTTCGTGGCAGAGCTCTTGCCTAGCGTGGTGTCCTAAGGTTTTCAGCGCTGACTCATTTTCGGGACTTATCACGGACAGACAGAGCCCTGTGCCCTTAAGAGGCAGTGCCTGAGGAGGAGGCAGTGATTGCTGAGTCAGGAGGACCCTGGGCAGAGGCTCACACTCCGCAGGGGGGCGGGAGGGAATGACAGTGGTGCTGCCTCTGGAGAAGGGGAATCGGGAGGAGCGGCAGCTCAGAGGCTGTGAGCAGGAAGAGGGGAGCACACAGAGCAGCAGGCCTGGCCGTGCAGGGGTCAGTCAGATGCCACAGGCCAGGGGCTCAAACTCCAGACGGGGCTCGCCCAGGGGGAGCCCAGCGATCCAGGACCCCGGCAGAGGGAGAGCCTGAGCAGTCACAGATGTCAAGGGCATGGGACCTCTTAAAACAGGGACGGCGCTGCAGCCAGCAGGGCAGGAGCAGATGTTGGCCTGCACAGGCCTCACCTTCACCACCTGGGGACATTTCTCCAAAGAGCGCACCTCTGGCTGGCCTCACTCCAGACATGACTCTGAGAAATTGTACGTTAGGCGTCACTGTGGCCGCAGGCCTAGCGCAGGCTCCCAACAGCAGGGCTCCGAGCCTGCAGACACCGAGTGAGAAAACACCTGGTGCTTAGAGGAGGCCAAGGGAGGCTGAGCGCGGTCTAAGCACCAAGGCCCGGGAAGGATGGGCCGGCGGGGAGAAAGCTGGGCTGAGAGGCCCCTGGGGCGCAGCGGGAGGGAGGGGCGAAGGCGCTGCAGGAGGCAGAACAAGGGTCGGGTGAGAGGAAGCCTCCTGGCCCCGCTGACGGTCTGGGCGAGGAGAGGAGGGGTGGACTGAGCTGGATCCGACTAGGACAGGCCGGACAGGAAGCCGAGTCCAGACAGGAGGTCCCTGCAGACGGAGCGCAGGCCGGCCGGGCTGGGGAGGAGGAGCCCCTCGGCCCTTCCTGCCCCTACAGGAGCGCATCCACCGCTGCCACCGCCGCAGACTCCAGGACAGCGAGGAGGCGGCCATGGGTGGCGGTGGCCCAGAGAAGGTGGGCAGCTCTCAGCGGGGCCGAGAGAAGGGTGGCATCAGCAGGTGCCCAGGCCTCCTGCCCGCCCCCAGCAAAGCTCACCTGTGACGCTTTTATTTTATTTTACATTTTACTTGTAGTGCTGGGGCAGGAACCCTAACGCTAAGCACCACTCCAGCTCTGTGTCCTGTAGAAGTCCATTCCTAGGGCTGGGGGTTTAGCCCAGCGGCACAGCGCCTGCCCGGCAAGAGCAAGGTCGTGAGTTCGATTCCCCATACCAGAGAAAAAAAAAAACGAAGTCCATTCCTATCCGTGCTGGCACCAAGAATTCCGGTTCTTGGAAGCCAGTGATCTTGTTTTTGTCCCCAGCGGTGTCCCTGCTGCCTAGACCGCACTTGGCGCTTTGTAGGTGCTCGACAGGTAGCTAACAGAATGACTAACGTTCAGGCCACAGATTGCTATATAGGGATGGCCATCTTGGACCCTGTGGTCACCGTTGGGGCTTTCCCAGAAACACATCTCCTTTAATAGTGCCCTTGGGGCCAAGGATATAGCTCAGTGGCACAAGTGCCTGCCTAGCAAGCTCAAGGTCCTGAGTTCAATTCCCACTACCAGAAAAAAAAAAAAAAATAGTGCCCTTGAACACTGGGCATGGTGGTGCACACCTGTAATCCCAGCACTCAGGAGGCTGAGGCAGGAGGATCATTGCAAGTTCGAGGCCAGCCTGGGCTACAAAGTGAGCTCAAGGACAGCCTGAACTACATAGCAAGACCCTGTCTTAAAAAAGACCAAAAAAAAAAAAAAGGTGTCACTGAAGCCCAGCATGGTAGCACATGCCTGTAATCCCAGCACTTACAAGTCTGGGGATGTAGCTCGGGGCAAAGGCCTTGAGTTCAGTTTGTAGTACCACGAAACAAAACAAACTGAAAAACCAATAAAAATTGGGACTGAGCTGGGTGTAGTGGCTCATACCTGAAATTCCAGGTACTCAGGAGACTGAAGCAAAAGGGTCATGGTTCAAGGCCAGATTGGGGTAATAGTTAGATCCAAGAAACCGAGCAAAAGAAAACCTGGGGCTGGCTATCACTTTTCTCCCTGCTATCATTAGTACGTTAACTGGTGCCAGAAGCCTTGTCAGTTGTTAGTCTTTGGACACCTAAATCTGCTAATGGGAACTTTCAGGACTGAAATTTTCCATGGCTTGCAACAGACTCAGGTGGTTGAGGCCGGGGATGCTCAGGTGCACGTATCCCGCCACACAAAGGCTCCTGAGAGTTGGAGGTGCTGTGCAGCGGGCCTGGGACTGGATGGCCCTGAGTTCATAGGTTTCACCTAACTATCCCTATTCCAATAGCCAGGAAACCATGGATTCTAACATAGAAAAATTGCCCTGAAAATAAACACAGGGAGCTGGGTGCAGTGGCAAATACCTGTAATCCCAGCAATCAGGAGGCTGAGGCAGGAGGATCCTTGAGAGTTCGAGGCCAGCCTGGGCTACAAAGTAAGCTCAAGGCCAGCCAGAACTGCACAGCAAGGAACTGTCTCAAAAAGACAAAAAATAAAATACAATAAATAAATATAGGGAGCCAGGCGTGGCATTGCAGACCTGTAATCTCAGCACTCAGGAGGCTGAGGCAGGAGGATCACCAAGAGTTTGAGGCCAGCTAGGCTACACAGTGAGTTCAAGGCCAGCCCGAACTCCATAGTAAGACCCTGTCTCAAGAATGCATACATACCCACAGGAAATCTGCAAGAGCACTGCAGTGTTCACATTTATTTGACTCTGACTTCAGATAGAAAGGGTTCATTCCTTTTTTTTTTTTTTCTGCAGTGCTGGGGTTGGAACCGAGAGTCTCACATGTGCTAGGCAAGGGCTTTAACCCGGAGCTCCACCCCGTCCTCCTATCAATGTGTGTGTGTGTGGTACTGGGGATTGAACTCAGGGCCTTATGCATGCTAGGCAAGCGCTCTATGACTGAGCCACATCCCCAACCCCTCCTATCAATTTTTAAAGCAGCCACCTGGCATTAGAATGTGTCTTTCAGGGCCGGGGATGTAGCTCAGCGGCACAAGCGCCTGCCTGGCAAGCACAAGGTCCTGAGTTCAATTCTCGGCACAAAAAAAAAAAAAAAAAAAGAATGTGTCTTCCTGCCCTAAGAACTTCCTGAATGTCTCAGAGAACAGGGGACACACTAACTCCTTCACATTTTGCCACCAGTTGTCCCAAAGCTCCATTTTGGAGGTGCACAGTTCAAGCTTCAAGGGACAGCAGTGGCTCCCCAGCCTGCGCCCTCCTCCTTCTCAGCCCACCCGACTTGGGTACTTTCATGTGAATTCTCACTCCTAATGCAAATTCTGGGGACCAGATTCCTGGCTGAAAGTATCAGAAAGCCTCTTTTTTTTTTTTTTTTTTTTTGGTACCAGAAATCAAACTCAGGACCTTGCACTTGCCAGGCAGGCGCTTATGCCGCTGAGCTATATCCCTGGCCTCAAAGCCATTCTTACAAGATATCAGTGAGGCCAATTTCGTGCCAGGACACTTAGGTGCCCCAGACCTGAAGGTCGGGGAAACAGCTGGGGGCTTCCAGCCTCAGTGTGGGGCTGGGGATGCAGTGACACGGGAATGGACTGGAGCTGAGAATTAATGTCTCCCTTTTTTGTGTGTGACTGGACCTAGGGCCTTGCACATGGTAGGTAAGCAGTGTACACCTGAGCTTGACACCCCAGCCCTGCCTCTCTCTCCTCCACATCTACTTGTTTCTCTTTTCTGAATCTTTCTCTGCAGATATCCCTCTGTTCTGCCCACAGACCCACACTGCATGTTAGAAACCCACTCTGCCAGGGGCTCCCACCAAAACCTTCCACAGCCCCTGAACTTCTTTCCTGTCTCATCCAGCCCATCAGGAAGGCTAAGTTCCCTGCCTCCCACACACATCCTCAGTTCAGATCCCCTCTGCCCAGCTCCCTGGGGCAGCGCTGCACCTTTCCCTCCAACACTGCGGTGACAGTGACGCTTCTCTGACTCTGTAATCTGCTCTCACTGTAGCCAAGCTGAGCCTGCTGACCACACGTGTCACACCTCTGCTCAAAACTCTCAGTTGCTTCTCTTTTTATTCAGAATAAAAGTCAGAGGCGAAAACAAAACAAAACACAAAAGCCAGGCATGATGGCACATGCCTATAATCCCAGCACTTGGGAGGCTGAGGCAGGAGGATCATTGCGAGTTCGAGGCCAGCCTGGGCTACAAAGTGAGCTCAAGGCCAGCCTGAACTGCATAGCGAGACCCTGTCTCAAAAAGACAAACAAAAAAAAAGAAAGGCCAGCCAGGTGGGGCACAAACCTGTAATCCCAGATACTTGGGAGGCTAAGGCAAGAGGTTTGAAATTCCTAGGCCAGCCTGAAAACCTTAGTGAGACCCTGTTTCAGAATAAAATTTCCTTTTTTGTTTTTGTTTGTTTTGGTTGTTTGTTTGTTTGTTTGTTTGTTTTTGTTTTTTTTGTTTTGTTTTGTTTTGTTTTGTTTTGTTTTGTTTGAGACAGGGCCTCACGATGTAGTCCAGGCTGGCTTTGAACTCATGGTATAGCCCAGGCTGGCCTCAAACTTATGGCGATCCTCCTGCCTCACCTTCCCAAGTACTCAGAATAAAAGAAAGGACTCGGGTGTAGCTCAGTGGTGGACCGCTTGCCTGGTGTGCACGAGGCCCTCAGTATCACAAAAGAAGATAAAGTGAGAGGCCTGGCTTGGTCACGCCTTTACCCATCACCTCAGAAACCTCACCTCTCTTGCCTTCAGCTTGCTGGTGCTCGTTGGGCTCAGCCTCGCGCATGCTCTGCCTCGTTTTTGGCAGTGCTAGGACGGACCCCAGGGCCTCAGGCATGCTGCGCGCGCTCTGCGCCTGCGCCCTGCCCACCCCGCCTCCGCGCCCTTCCCAGACGCCTCCGCGGCTCACGCTCACTTCCCTGCGTCAGCGTCGCTGTGAGCCCTTGGTGAAGTCTCCACGGACATTTCCTGCACAGAGTCCCTTCGGGATTGCTTTCCCCACAGCACTTATCGGGCTCTGCTATCTTCTGGCTTCACGCATCTTGTTTACCACAGTCTGCTCTAGAACTTCGGGCCCTGAGCGCGGGCGCCATAGTCCCTGTTCACTAATACCTGGCATTCAGTAAGCTTTGCGGTGCTGGGGAGCGACTCAGGACCCGGTGTGGCATGGTGAGCCTCCTCACGTCCTCTACTCTTCTCTGACCCCAAAAGCCTCAGCGCTGGAGGACGGGTGAAAACCAGAGCAAGCTGGCTCGTTAACTCATGATTGTCCCTTGTCCCATCAGGCACCACCTTTTCCTGCCCTCCGACCAGGGCAGCAGCTGCCCCTGAGGAACCACTAACCCTGCATCCTGCGACCCACTGGTGGCCTCTGTCCCCCACAAAATGTCCGGCCAGGATTTAAGGTAAGCTGTGGGCTGGCTGGCGTGGGGAAGAGTTGCCCAACATCTCCAGACACTGAATATAGGCGTGGTGGTGCACGCCTGTGGTCCCAGCACTGGGAGGCTGAGGCAGGAGGGATCCCATGAGTTCAAGGACAGCCTGGGCTACGTAGTGAGTCCAAAGCCAGCTTGGACTAGACAGACCCTGTCTTAAAAAAACGAACAGATCCTGAAGAATAAGCTGAATTCGAGGGGAAAGCAAGTGAAACTCATTCCACCAAGTTTATGTATGTCGTTCCCCCTCAAACACACACACAAATATGCGTACAAACATAGACATGAGGTCAGGCCTGGTGGCACACGCCTGTAATCCCAGGCTGAGGCAGGAGGGTCACCGTGAGTTCGAGTCCAGCCTGGGCTACAAAGTGAGTTCAGGGTTGCCTTGAACCTACGCAGAGAGACCCTGGCTCAAAAAAAATTAAGAAAAAAAATGTGTGTGCATGTGTGATATTGCTAAATATAGTTTGTAATTGGACGCCTTATCCCAGGTTGCAGAATTTAAGTTGACCCTATTTGTTGTTCCAAAATGTCTTGTTGGCTTATCAGAGTTCCTTTGTGAGGAAACCTACTATTACCAATTTTACCTTTTCCAGATAATCTGTGTCCATATTTTGCCATGTCTGCCTCTGACCTAGTAGATAAGATCTATATGTACTGGGTTCCAAGGAGACTGAGAAATTCCCCACCCCCGATCCTGTGCTTCACCGGGATGTAGGGGTCAGTTTATCTAAAATTTTATTTTGGGGGCTGAGGATTTAGCTCAGCGGCACAGCACCTGTCTGGCAAGTGCGAGGTCGTGAGTTAGATTCCTGGTACCGGAAAAAAATAAAATAAAATAAAATAAAATAAAATAAAATAAAATAAAATAAAATAAAATTTTACTTCTGTTAGAATTAGATAATCTTGCCAGGCCGTGGGTGGCGCATGCCTTTAATCCCAGCACTCGGGAGGCTGAGACAGGAGGATCGTTGCGAGTTCAAGACCAGCCTGGGCTACAAAGTGAGCTCAAGGTCAGCCTGAACTGCATAGGAAGACCCTGTCTCAAAAAGACAAAAAAGTAAAAATAAAAATCCCAGAATTAGATAATCTCAATGCGGAGCCCTGGTTATCTCCCCTGACCAGAGGCCTGGTCCTCTTGTGGGGAAGGGAAGCTCGGAGATGCCAGGGCCTGCTCTAACAACACAGCAGGATTCGCACTCAGTTCCGCCAGAGCTGAAGCCACACAGAAGGCTGCGGTGTCCGGGCACTTCTGCACACATGGCTGAGGCGGGAGGAGGAGCGGGAGACCGGGCTCTGGGGCGCAGAGGCTGCCAGCGCCTCGGCCTGGGCCGCGGGCCGGGGCGGGGGGCGCCCTTCTCCCTGGCCGGGCAGCGCCTCCTCACCGGGCCCCTCTGCTCCCCTGGCCTAGCATCGCCGCCAAACTCATCAACGGCGGAGTGGCGGGGCTCGTGGGGGTGACCTGCGTGTTCCCCATCGACCTGGCCAAGACCCGGCTGCAGAACCAGCGCGGGAGAGACACCTACGGAGGAATGTGGGTGCGGGCCGGGAGGGTCGGCGGAGGCGCGGCCAGCGGAGGGGTGGCGGCCCGGCGGCCTCTGGTCCCCGCTCACGCCCCCTGCTGGCCGCTACTCTAGGCTCGACTGCCTGGCGAAGACGGCGCGCGCGGAGGGCTTCTTCGGCATGTACCGAGGTGGGCGCGGGCCGCGGGAGGCCTGGCCGGGGCTGGGGAGGGCGGCGGGCGGCGCAGGGCTCGGGTGTGGTGAGCGTGCAGCACGCTGGGCACGGGCGGCGCTTCTCCCAGAGAGCTGCGGGCGTGAGGCCCGGGCGCCAAGTGCCCCTGCACGCTGCTGCCCATGCTTGCTTTGGTGGAGGCAGAGGTGCCCGCACCCTGGTAGGACCTGCCTAGTTCCCTACAGGCCCTACCACTGCCCACTGCGTGCGTGCGTGCGTGCGCGTGTGTGTATCAGCCTCTTGCTAAGTGGCTCAGACTGGCCTTGAACTTGTGTGTGATTCTTCTGCCTCAGCCTCCTGAGATCTGAGATGAACGGCGTGTGCCAGCGCTCCCAGCCCACCGTGGGAGGTTGGAGCAGTGAGCCCCAGCCCGCCTCCACCTCCCTCTCCCTCCATCCCCCTGCAGTGCTCAGGAGGGGAAGGCAGGCTCAGGGTGCAGGGGGCTGAGCTCTTCCCTGACCTGACCCTGGCCCCTGCTGTGTGCCCTGCAGCCCCATCCGTGTGTAGGCCTGGGAAAACAGGCCCAAGGCTGGTGCTGAGAAGAGCTAGCGGACCAGTCCCCCGAGAGAGAACGTACAAACCCAGCCAGGCACCGTGGCACAAACCTGCACACCTGGCTATCAGGAGGCTGAGGCCAGAGGATCCAACTTCAAGGCCCACCAGGGTCACTTAGCAAGACCCTGTCCCAAAATAAAACCTTAGGGCTGGGGATCTAGCTCAGCGGCACGGAACCTGCCTGGCAAGTGCAAGGTCCTGAGTTCAATTCCTGATACCCTCCCCCTGAAAAAATCAAATCAATAAATAAAAAATAATAAAAACTTAAAAGGGCTGGGGATGTAGCTCAGTGAAAGGCTTTAGGTTCCATCCCCAGTACCACAAAAAAAAAAAAAAAAAAAAAAAAAAGAAAGAAAGCAAAGCGTATGTGAGGTACTCAGCTGCCTGTGGGACAGTGTGATCCCTGGGGCTCGGTGCTGGGAGGTGGACCGCACCGGAGAGGAGACAAATAAGACCATTTCCTTACAACTGGATGCAGGCGTCCATAAAGAAAACAAATGCATCACAGAGGAAGGAATGAAAAAGATCCTGTCTCAGTAACACAGGCCAAGGAGCCCTGCTCGGGCCTCGGGGAGCTGTCCCTCGGGGAGCACCACGGCTGCTGACGCGTGTTCCTCGCCACCAGGGGCCGCAGTGAACCTCGCCCTGGTCACTCCGGAGAAGGCCATCAAGCTGGCGGCCAACGACTTCTTCCGGCAGCTGCTCATGGAAGATCGGTATGGCCAGGCCACAGCAGGGCAAAGGTCCTCCACTGTGTGGCTGTGTTTCGGGAGAGGGTCGCGGACGTGCCTGCTTGCCTGTGTGTGCATGTTTAAATGCAGGCGCACACATGGCTGAGGGGTGGTGTGTTTGGGTAGACGGAAGAGAAGGAGCGAGTGTCATTTGGGTGATAGGCAACACCTTCAAGTGAGAATACAGAGCACAGATAGATTCCTCAGTTAGCTGATGAATTTCTGATTCATCCCTGGAACGCTTTCTAGGCGGGCACTGTGCCGTGGAGCTATCTTCCCGGCCTTGGAACACTTTCTAGATCTGTCTTCCCACTGCCCAGTGAGAGGACGCGAGGGACCAGACAGAAGCAGGGCCACGCCACAGGCTGTCACGTCACTCTGCCACCTCTGGCTTCCCACCCCCGAGCAGCCTCTGGTTGGCATTTAGCCTCGGGTCTTTGAGGAGACTGAGGCCAGGTGGTTACCGACCCGGCTGGGTAGGTGGCAGCCAGTGGTGACGGGGACAAGGTTCCCATTAGTGGAAAGTCTCAGCCACCTAACAGGGTCCATGAGCCAGGGGTGGCAAGGCTGGCCTGACCCTGAAGGAGCCTCATGGTCCACAGGATGCAGCGGGACCTGAAGATGGAGATGCTAGCCGGATGTGGGGCTGGAATGTGCCAGGTGGTGGTTACCTGTCCCATGGAAATGCTCAAGATTCAGCTGCAGGATGCTGGACGCTTGGGTGAGGCCTACCCCAGCTTCACCTGGTCAGTACAGACTGGGTCAGAACAGGTCACACTGGCCTCCCTCCCTCACTGCCCAGCTGTGTAGATGGACAAGTCAGCTCCACGGGTCAAAGGGCACCTTTATTGTATGGTGCCGCCTCTCAGCACTTCCAGGTCTAGGACAAACAGCAGAAATGCCAACCATTCAAAAGGGACGGAGGGCCGGGCGTGGTGGCGCACGCCTGTAATCCCAGCACTCAGGAGGCTGAGGCAGGAGGATCGTTGCGAGGTCGAGACCAGCCTGGGCTACAAAGTGAGCTCAAGGCCAGCCTGAACTGCATAGGGAGACCCTGTCTCAAAAAGACAAAAAAAAGAAAGAAAGAAAGAAAGAGGGCCGGAGATTACTCACACCTCACACCTCTATCACCTTGACAGTTAGGCTGACTTCCTAAAGATTTTAAGAAATATCAATGACCTGCTCACTAAACACTTCAGGCAGTAGATATTTTGTGCTGTAGAAACTGGCTTTTAGGGGGAAGGCATAAAAAGGGAGAAGAGAAATATTCCTGTCCTTTTGGTTTTCTCTAGAAGAGAGGTTTGCCTCTCAGCCCTGGTCCTCTCAGAAATAGAGTGGGGAAGGTACCGAGGCCGACAGTAGAGGGGCCTCACCTCATGGCTCCACCTTGTCTCCATGAAATAAGCTCCTGGGTCCCGGCCCGTGCAGCCCCTGGCAGGGAGCCGCTTGTTCCTCTGCACCGCACTCAGCTGGGCGGGCCAGCTCTGGGCCAGCTCTGAAGCCTCCGGCTTTCCTTTCTTTCTTTTCTCCCTCTTCCCTCCCCTCCCCCTCGCCCCTTTCTTCCGTGCCTGCCAGGCAGGCGCTGTGCCCACTGAGCTGTATCCAAGCCCACAGCATCCTGTTTCTATCTGTGAAGTGTAAAGGCCCTGTTGTGGCAGTTCCTCAACTTGGGTGAAAAGCTCTAGGACTCCTAAAACACTTCAGGAACCTTTTTCCAGCCCTGGTGATCGAACCCAGGGCCTCTGCACCAGCTGCATTCCTAGCCTACTTTATATTTTGAAACAGGGTCTCTAGGTTGTCTGCGCTTGCCTCTGAGCTGACCCAGGGCTCGGACTGACTGACCTAGGGCTACCTTTGGGGGTGCTTCGGGCTGCCTGCTGGGGCCCTGGCTTGAGAGGGAGCCTGTCCTTCCCTTTCAGCGGGGCACCCCCAGGGCTTGGCCGCAGACCCCCCATCCTCCAGGTCCTACAGCACGGGCTCAGCTTCCACCCACAAGCGCCCCTCTGCCACCCTCATCACCCGGGAGCTGCTGCGCACACAGGGCCTGGCCGGCCTCTACAAGGGCCTGGGGGCCACGCTCCTCAGGTGAGCCCTGCTGCCCACGCGTGTGGGATACTGTGGGGCAGGGGGGCACTGCCACCTCTTAGCGGGCACTCCAGGCCAGGTTGGCAGGCCATTCCTTGCCACACACAGCGGCCAAGGTCATACCGAGTGGGCACCCGGGAGACCAAGGTTTTAGGCTCCTTTGCCAACGAGCAGGACTGGGTGTGTGGTGGCCCAAAGGAAGCAGCGCTCACACGGCGCAGCACGCCCTCCTGCCCGCTCCCGGCTTCCGGGAGCCTGGTGGGAGGGAGCCCGGCTCAGCGCCCCCTCGCCCGCAGAGACATTCCCTTCTCCGTCATCTACTTCCCGCTCTTTGCCAACCTCAACAACCTCGGAGTCGACGAGCTCTCGGGGAAGGCCTCGTTCGCACACTCCTTCGTGTCTGGCTGTGCTGCAGGCTCCGTGGCTGCTGTCGCAGTGACGCCCCTGGACGGTAGGTGGTCGGAGGGTCGAACCGCACATGCACAGCCATCTGTGGGACAGACGGAACTCTCGCACCTGCAGATGCAGCTCACCGGGAGATGAGCACCCTGGGGCTGACAGCACTCACCAGGGTCCTCACAGACATCACTGACTATTCCCTCCTGCTGGGCACAGTGATCGTGCCTATAATCTTAGCAGTCTGGGAGGCTGAGGCAGGAGGATCACAAATTTGAGCCCAATCTGGGCAGTTTAGCAACTTAGTGAGACCTGTCCAAAAAAAAAAAACAACCACCCAGGATGGGCGCTAGAAACACAGCTCACTGTGAAGGTTCTATGTGCAAAACCTAGTAGCACAAAAAAGAAAAAAAAAAAACAAAACAAAACCAAAAAAGACAAGACAGTCCCTCAGCATGTTAAGTGCCCATTTTGTTAGCTTTGAGCCCCCCTTGTCCTGGGCCGCTGCAGGCTGTGGGGTTCCAGCCCGTCAGTGACAGAACTGGCCGCGCAGGTCCACCCTGTCCGAGCCAGCTCTGTTGAGGGGGCACCAAAAGCAAGGTGTTCACTGTGAATTTTAACTTCTGCTCCATTTAGTTCTGAAAACTCGAATCCAAACCCTCAAGAAAGGCCTGGGTGAGGACAGCTACAGCGGGACAGCCGACTGCGCCAGGTGAGCCCACAGCCCCGCCACACTGTCTATACCTGTTTGACTGTCGAGCTGTTTGGTTTTTTTGAGACAGGGACTCACTATGTAGTCCTGGGTGGTCTCCAACTTGTGGTGACCCTCCTGCCTCAGCCTCCCAAGTGCTGGGATTACAGGTGTGCGCCACCACGCCCAGCTGGAGCCCCAAGTTTGTTTGAAATCTATTCATTTCTGTTCTCTCTCAGAGGGAGGAAATAGTATCTGGGGAGCTTTTAGGGCTCCCAGGTTGTAGTGCAATCAAGCCTGTTTTGCAGGACCCCACTGCCAATCGCCAGACTGTAGGCTTGCACCGGGTAGGGGACACTTCCTCCTGCTGGGGTTCAGCCAGTGCTGGGGAAAGTGACACCTCCTCACAAAGGCACAGATGCTGCCTAGCAGCTCCCTGGCTTTGCTCTCTCCCCAGGAAGCTCTGGACCCAGGAGGGACCAGCTGCTCTCATGAAGGGGGCGGGCTGCCGCGCCCTGGTTGTCGCGCCCCTCTTCGGCATCGCCCAGGGAGTCTATTTCCTGGGGATCGGGGAGCGCGTCTTACAGTGGTTGGAGTAGCCCTGGCCGATCACAGGTCCCCGGCTCGCCCATCCCTTAGTCTAGAGCGGGGAAGGGAAGGGAAGGCAACGGCCCTGTCCCATAGGCAAGTGTCAGCCCTCCCCGCCAGGAAGCTGCGTTCATCTCCTGGAGCTGCAGGGGAGCTCAGGGGCCCTGACCATGCCAGCCTTGGGTATGTTCCTGGAGACCTTCCGGCGGGCGGCCGGCCCCACACCGTAATACTGCCCTTTCCCACTCGAGCTCCATACCCGAGTCAGTGTGCGGATTTAGCTGTTCATCTCCAGTTACTAACTTAGGGTTAGTCCTAGCACTGTTAGGAGAGGCATCAGGGATCCAAGGGGACCGGGGCCAGCGCCTGGCTCGAGGCGGGGACGCCCACGTGCGTCATAGACAGGGCCAGGCCCAGCAGCTGCCTTGCCTGGGCCCTCCCGCCGACCTCCGTGGGGCCGTGGCTGAAATAAAGCTCAAGTTAGCCCCGCGAGGGGAACCCTGTGTCTTCCTTTGTATGTTCGCCTCCGACCGGAACTACATTGTAGGCCCCGCAGCCGGGCGCTGCCGTGCTACGTGTCACGCAGGAGGCTGGAGGAGCCCAGAGGGAGGCTGTTTCTGCTCCGGGGTTTGGAGTCTCGCTTCCCTCTTTCCATTTTTTTTGGTACGGAGAATCAATCTCGGGGCCTCGCGCTTGCCAGACAGGCGCTGTGCCGCTGAGCTACACCCTTGGGCCGCCATCACTTCCTTCCCTTTCTGACTGCTGCATCTGGAGGACAGAGTTCTCCTCATGAGCCTCAATTCCACCTCCAGAGGCCACTACAGAGAAATGACGTCACACGAAGGACGTCAAGTCCCAAGGGAACAATACCTGTTCCAAGAGCTGGCACCTACATTAGTCCCCTCCAAACCCAAAACTAGTTCTCCAGGGAGCAGGCACTGCCGCGGTGGTCAGCCTCGGTGACCTCACTCACAAGGGGACGCCTGAGGCTCTGGCTCTCAGGATGGATGCAGGCCAGGCCGAGCTCTGCCGCCCACAGCTGTGAGACCCTGGGCAGCGCTCAGCTGCTGTCCGAGGCCAAAGGAGAATGGTGAGAGGAAGGAAGAAAGTCCTCTGCATGGTGATGACTTTGCCTAGCACAAGGCAACCTTCCCAAAAAACTTCGGTTTCTTTTTTACACTGCCTAAACTGATAAAACTATTCTCTCAGTAAAGCTGTACAACTCACAGGACTGGGGTGTAGCTTACCAGGCCTTGAGGGCTACCTCTAGTATCACACACACACACAAAAAAAAAACAGCTGTAAACTCTCTGGGAACAGAAAATTAACAACTGTGTGGAAAGGAAGGCCAGGCAGAACAACCTGGGGTGATGTCTGGGGAAATGGGAGGAAACCCTGAGGACATGAGATTGATGCTTTCCTCGGTAAGAACTTCTTCTTGCAACGGGGCCTTGCTATGTTGCCCAGACAGGCCCTGAGCTCTGGGCTCAAGTGGTTAGTGATCCTCCTGCCTCAGCCTCCTGAGCTGCTAAGACTGTAGGCACCTGTACCACTCCTGGCAGAACATCCACTCTACTCTCTCAAAGCACAAACCTGCAGTGACTTATGTAAGAAATTACAATTAAACCCACATAAACCTTGTGTTTTAATAAATAAAGAATCTTCATGGTTTAGCTTTTGAATCACATTTACAGATGAGGAACACGTCTAGGCCCAAACAGGTAACAGTACTGCTGGGAAGACAGCAGGCCCCACATGCAACGTACACCAAGAGGGTGGGATCAGCATGCAGGGCGCCCTGGAGACCAAAGAGTGCGGGGAGAAGCGGTGGGAGCCCTGCGCAGGGCTGCGGGACCCAGGGTCAGGGCGGGGCCTGCAAACTAAGGGAGCCCCTCCCGCTGCACAAGGGCGTCACTGGTAAATGCGAACAGTAGTAGAACAGCCGAGAGGAAGCCACAGAGACAATCTTGCTTCTTCTTCAGAGGACGCACTCCACTTCCCCAAGGCTTAGTCCAAAAACTTCCTATTCATGTTCGCACCGAACAAGGCTCCCCGCACCTCGGGCATCATCTGGGGAGAAAGAATTCAATGAAGCACCATCAGCAGGGAGCCCGTCGGGAGCCGCGCTTCCCGGCCACAGGCGGTGCTCGCTGCCTTCCGTCTCAAAGCTCAGCAAGCACAGCCCGCCCCGCCCCGCGCTGGGCAGATGCAGCGCCGCCGAAACCTCACTAAGCCCACGCTGCCTGCGAAAGTGAAAAAGACATCAGAAGTGCTGCCTCTGCCCTGCTGCCCTGCGGTGGAGGGAGGGGACACGCACTGTGAGGGCGTTTCCGCCTCGCAGCACCCCCGCCCCCCGCATTCTCCCCTCGCTGAGCGCCCGCTGCTGCGTCTCGGTGACTGCGCAGAGCACTCGGGACGGGACGCAAGCTTGTGCTCAAGCCCTCGTGGTGACGAACGAATCCTTAGGAGGGTTTCTTTTTGGAACTCAGAGCCTCGCGCTTGCTAGTCTAGCGCTGTGCCACCCAGCTACATCCCGGCTCCTCAGGAGGATTTAACCTCCAAGGTTTTTTTCTCCCCAGTCCTGGGGAGTTAAACCCAGGGCCTCCTGTAGCTCCTTTTTAAAAAATACTTTTTTGGAGACAAAGTCTCACCGAGTCCCTAACTGCCCAGGCTGGCTTGAACGTGGAAGGTGCGCACCACCGTGAGTGACCCTCAAACTTCTAAGGCCGTGCCCTGTCACGTGGCAGCCACCAGCGACACGCGACGACTGCCATCTGAAACGTGACCGCTGAGACAGGAAACCGCAGCCGGCTCTGAGCAGAGAACACAGGGCTTGGTACACAAGCAAGACTCCGTCACCCAGCTACACACCCAGCCCTGAAGGCGGGACTGATTGATTTCAGTACGGGGGCCGTGCGCGTGGCCACACAGCTCTAAGACTCAAACTGCCCGATGGCGACGTGCACTCGCTTTGGTCACGAGACGGGGCGCACGCCAACAGTGCTGTCAGGAAGCCGCCAGCAGCAGCAGACCACTGCTGCACGCAGACGCCAGCATTGGAAAACGGGCTGCTACCAGCTTCCTTCCTGGAGTTCACTGGTGCAACGTGGAAGGGTGTGGGGAGCGAGGGGCCTTCCAACGCTGCCCTCAAATGTTTCAGTTCCCGTCATTCCTCTTTAAAAATGAGCTATGTTTAGTATTTTACTTGATAATGTTATTACTGCATAATATAGAAAAACTTGCTGGACGTGGTACCACACGCCTATAATCCCAGCACTCGGGAGGCTGAGGCAGGAGGATTGCTGAAAGTTCGAGACCAACCCAGCTACAAAGTGAGCTCAAGGCCAGCCTGAACTGCATAGTGAGACCCTGTCTCAAAAAGACAAAAAAAAAAATAAATAAATAAAAGATAAAAGAAAAATGCTATCCATAAGCATTTAATATGTATCTTCATTATGCAGTCACAATCAACCTTTGCTTTATTCACGTATAGTGAATAGCACCTATATGGAAAAATACCCATCCGTAAGCACCAGAGATCACTTAAGCGGGTGCTCCAAATTCTAAGATGTCACCTATGAAATCAGAAAAGCGCAGAGGAGTTGTGTGTGTGACCAAGGTGGCCGTCTTTCCCTACAGAGTAAGCGCACTCTCCAGCCTCCAGGAGGCAGCCGGGCTGTCCCATGCTGTGTAGTGTTAAGCCCGCTCCCAGATTTTCCTCCAGCTCCCATGATGTCTGCCGGAGAAAAAATCATCAGAATCCCGGAGAAACCAGGCCGGGTTAGACTCCGACCTCTCCACGCAACTCAGCCCTGTAAATACCACTGCATGCCTCGCCCGTTCCTTCCCAGAAACCGTGGCGGCACAAACCCGAAATCCCGCGCAGGAATACGTGTCCTCGAGCCACCTCAAGGCGATCAGCCGCCTGCGTGACGAGACGCCCTCCCCACTCACCTGCTGGGCTATGAGATCCAGCCGGCTCTCCAGGGTGTTGGAAACTTTTATTTTACGATCCCCATTGTAGATCTCAACTCCGCCAGCTCTACAAAGAACAGAGAAAATAAGTTTAGAGTTGAGGAAGGCAAACACCTATCGTACCGACCCCCACCCCCGCCCCAGGAAGGCGATTTAGGTTCTCAGAGCCAGCAGCCTGAGCCGCTGACCTGAAATTAATTCAAACACCTCTAAGGGTTCAAGGTGTCAGTGGTGATAGCACAAGTTACTGCCCCTTCCATGTGACAGTGCTCCCCAACAGAACGGAAAGGGCAGATTTCCTCTCCCTCTGCAATCGGAGTCCACACGAAGCTGTGAAGCCCGAGGCTACTCACCAGGACCACCTCCCACCTGCCTCCCTCACTCGTCGCCCTGAGGCCTCCCCTAGGCACACCTCCCGCCGCCCTTGTCACTGCGCTCTGCAGTCTCCAGGCACTGGAGGCATAAAGTAAACACGTCAAACTGTTTCACAGGGAACCTCGGAGAAGGAAACCCACTTACTACAGCATGGTATCAGGTGTCTCGGAATAAGCGGGCCACCACTCAAACACTAGAAAAGGCTTTGCAACTGTTCTTTGGGAAAAAAATTCTTTTACTTTTTTGGTACTGGGTGCTGAACCCGAGGCATTCACACTGAAGTAGGTTCTCTACCCCTTTTATCTAATGCTGAGATAGGACCTGCCCAAGTCACTGAGTTACTCAGACTGGGCTCGGCCTTGCGATCCTCCTGCCCCAGCCTCCCAGAGTGGTTCTTTGGAAAATGTTCCGGACAAAGATCTTGTATTTTTTTCTTACTGCACATCCCCAGCCGCCCCCTTTCTTTGTTTCATCTGCTCATGGTTTTCCCACGCAGCCTGTATTCCTCATAAAGGCGCAGTGGCTCTTGCTGAAATTGTGCCTCTGCGAAGCTCTATGCGGCCCACGCTTCGGGTGTTAAGAAAGGAGCCCTGAGAGCACGCCGGCTGCGTCCTGCCCGTCTGCCACAGGGCTCCTGTCTGCCCGCCGAGTCTTCCTACACTGTGAGAGCTGCAGCATACAGACCACTTCCTAAGATAAGCAAACAGCTTATAGGGATTGAATAAAGTGGAGTGACAGCCCTGCAAAGATTTTTGTTTTTAAGTCAGGCTCTTGCTGCGTAGTTCAGGCTAGACTTGAACTCCGGCCTCAGCCTCCTGAGTGCTAGAATCGCAGGCGTGTGCCACCACGCCTGGCTCTGACGAGATTTAAATGTCACTTTGCACAGGATAAATATAAACCCTCATCAGTTTAAAAGGCTCTGGAAAAAGAAACCAGAAAGCACCGAACGTGGCCGTGAAACCAGAACTAGTCTCCGGGCAACAGGCAGCGAAGGACTCACAGCCCTCGTTTTTCTCCCTCCCTTGTGACAGACACCTGTTCCGCCCAGAAACGTCAGCACACGGGACGGCGGGGCTGGGCCTCAGCCCTCACAGGGGACGTGACGGTACATGGACACTAGGGTCACACCTGGCCCCAAGATGCAGATGAGGAGCGGGGCCTCTCGCTTGTTCTGCGGTGCTGGGGAGGAGGGGCGAGTTTCTGTAACGGAGCTCACCCACACGCACCAGCCCGGGTGCTGCCTTCGCTCAGAGGGGACAGTCAAGGCTCAGTGAGAGGCAGTCACGAGTCCAAGGTTACAGCTAGCAAGTGGCAGGACGGAGGATCAAAACCCAATCTGAGCTGTGAGGCCGGGGCTCAGTCCCTAGTGCATCAACAAAGGCCCCAACTCCGATGACGTTCTCAGACATAGATCTTGCAGACCTTAGTCCCACGCTCCCTACTGCAGTCCTAATGCATCGGGGACTCTGTCCCGCATGAAGGACTCCTTGGTGCGGCTGCCGGCCAGGCAGGCACGTGACACACACGTGACTTGGGGAGCGCGCTCAGCCCACGCTGGTCAGGAGCTCCTAGCCCTGCCCAAAGAAGCAAGGTCATGAGAGACACCAGTCCAGGGCTGTCCCTCCTCAGTCGGTACAATGCCTCTGTTATGCGACTCTCATTATTAGGATATGGAATGAATATCACGTTGTTTTTCTGGTTCTGCTTGGGTGCCGTGGCTCAAACCCAGGAGCTCACCAACACTAATCAAGGTACGTCCCCACCCAGCCCCTTGTTTCTGGTATCTCCTTAGGAGCAGGGATTACCCAGCATTGGTGGCTGAGGCAGGAGGATCTCCAAAAAACAAAAAATTAGTCAAGTGTAGTAACACACACCTGCAATTTCAGCACTCTGAGAGGCTGAGGCAGGAAGTCTGATCCCAGCGTGGGCAACTGAGTGAGATGATCTCATAAGGGGGGTGGGGGCGCTGGGGATACAGCTCAGTGAGAAGCCTCGGGTTCAACCCCTAGTACCACAAACAAAACAAACAAGTAGGATTATCTTCCTCAGCGTCCAACACAGAGGTCTGCACTGCCGCTGAGTTTCACCCCTCAGCTCAAAACACACTTTTTACAAGGTCCAGCCAGCACTCGGGAGGCTGAGGCAGGAGGATCACTGAAAGGCTAAGGCCGGTCTGGGCCTCATAGGGAGACCCTGTCTCAAAAAACAAAACAGCAACAATAAAAAACAAAGACGAGGGGCTGGGGATTTAGCTCAGCGGCAAAAGCGTCTGCCTGGCAAGCGCAAGGTCGTGAGTTCGGTTCCCGGTACCGGAGAAAAACCAAAAAAAAAACAAAGACGAGAACACTCCTTACATGTCCTCAGGCAGGTAGGCCTCCTGATCAATTTGAACATCAACATCTTTCTTGGTGGCAATTTTGTACATAGGGATCGCTTTTTGCACTGCAGCCTGGAAAACAAAAGAATGAAAGATTTGAAAGCAAACAAGAAACCAATTACACAAGCAAGGATAACCCTTCTAACCTTAGACTTATTCTTTTTTTTTGTCTTTTGAGACAGGGTCTTGCTATGCAGGTCAGCCTGGCCTTGAGCTCACTTTGTAGCTCAGGCTGGTCTTGAACTTGCAGGGATCCTTCTGCCTCAGCCTCCAAAGCTCTGGGATTATAGGTGTGCGCCACCACACCCGGCCTAACCTTAAATTTAAAAATAGATGCTCTGCAGGGGCTGGGGATTTAGCTCAGTAGCACAGCGCCCACCTGGCAAGCGCGAGGTCGTGAGTTCAATTCCCAGTACCAGAAAAAAAAAAAAGAAAATAGATGCTCTGGCCAGGCTGGTGGCACACACCGGTAATCCCAGCACTGGAGAGGCTGAGGCAGGATTGCCATGAGTTTGTGGCCAGCCAGGGCTACATAGCAAGACCCTCTCTCAAAAAATTTAAATCAGATAAAAAAAAATTTAAAAAGATGCTCTGCTAATGGGAAGGAAAACTGGTGCCACACTGAAGGGGGTAAACCGAGAGCCTGCATGCAGAGGGAAGAGAGGCGCGGGACTCCTGTGACACTCGGTGGGCCTGGCAGGTGCAGGTGTGGAGAGCAGGAGGGAGGAAGACGTCTTCCCCCGGCGCGGAGCACGAGGGCTGCGCGGGGAGACGTGACACGGAGAGCGTAGCTATGCGCTTTTTACATTATTTGCAATTTTCTGGGGGCGGGGGATGAACTATGTGCTGCACCCCAAACCAGTGCCGACCCCAAGTTCAGCGCTGACAGCTGCAGAAGAGAGGGTGATGGCACAAAAGGTGGCGCTACTTTGCACCCGTCAGAACGGCTGCTGTATGTCGCAGCCGGGTACCACGGGCTGCACCCGCAGTCCCAACCCCCGGGGAGGGTGAGGCAGGAGGACGGCTAAAGCCAGCGTTCCCGGACAGTGTGGACAACGTGGCACCAAAAAAACAGAACCCCATGGAACCAAAAAACAAGTGCTGGTGATGCTGTGCACTGTGTTCAAGTATTAAATGACACAACTGACTGGGAACCTGTATGATACTTTCTCAAAGAGTCACGCCAGAATCACCTACAGCCCAGCATGTCCAGAGGAGAGACTCAGACATGCACTTGCATTTCCACAAACACAGCCACAGCATCCCAAGAGCCAGGAGGTGAAAACGACCCACGCACCATCACTGGAGGAATGCATAAGCAAAACGTGGCACATGTAAGATGAGATCTTATTACCTTAAAAGGGAACGGGCCAGGCATGGTGGTACATCTGTAATCCCAGCATTCCCATAGGCTGAGGCAGGAGGATCCCAAGTTCTAGCCCAGCCTGTGCAACTTAACAACTTAATGAGTCAGTATCTCATTAAGTAAGTTTAGAAATAAGGGCTGAAGATGTAGATCAGTGGCAGTGCCCTGGGTTCAAGCCCCATTACTACAAAAAAAAATTCTTTTTTCCCTCTCCCAAGTTCTTTACCTTTACCAAAGGGAAATCTTGTTTCCTGCAGCGCACGATCATCCGGGGCTCCAAGAGCTGGTATAAACCCTGTAAGAAACAGTCAGGTGTCGTCAGGGGAAAATGCAAACTACACCCCTAATGTGCTTTCCCTGCCCGTGGAGAAACGGACCCCCACATGACAGAAGACAGGGCCCCCCATGACAGGCCAGGGCCTGATGCCATGGCCAGACAAACAGCCAGACGCCCTGCTGATCCAGCCCAGCACAGCCACCACACGCTTCGTCATGAGCACGAGGAAAATGAGGGCTCACACCCCAGCAGTGAACAACGCTATCTGAAGCAAGTGTTTTAATGGTAAAAATCAAACTAAGGAAGCTGAAAACTGCAAGTTGCAAGGAGACTTGAGCCTCAAGTTAGAAAGGAGCAGTAAGACCACGTCAGAGCAGCACGCCTAAAGTCTTGGTCTCATCCAGCCAGATGCCCCAAGCTGTTTCCCTTTGCTATCCTTCCTTGTAGCAGCCTTTTCTTCCCTTTTTTCTTTTGGTGGCACTAACCTACATCCCCAGCCTGCCCTCCCTCCTTCCCTTACTTATTTGTTTGGTTTTTTGAAACAGGGTCTTGCTATACAATTTAGGCTGTGTTATGGTTTGTGTCTGGGTGTCCCCCCAAAGCCTCATGCGGTCATGGGGCAGGCTTTTAGAGTTTGATTGATTATGGGTGTGAGAGCTACACCCGCCCAGGGGTGGATAGTTTGCATATGTAAGGGAGAGGAAGAGGCTGCTTGCGGCCACTCCTGGCTTTTGTGCTTGTTGCTTTGCTGTGTTCTGCCCCCGTGAGCTGTAGCCCTCTGCCATGTGCCACTCTGCCTTGTAACCTGCCAAGTATGGACTAAAACCTCCACAAACTGTAAGTGAAATAAACCCTTCCTTCCTTAATTTTGGGCGTCAGGTATTTTGTCTCAGCAACTCGAGAAAAGTAACCAAGACAGGCTGGCTTTGAACTCACTATGTAGTTCAAGCTGATCTCAGAAGTCATGGTGATCCTCCTGCTTCAGCCTCTTCAGTGCTGCGATTATAGGTGTGTGCCAACACATCTGACTAATTAATTTTTCTTTTGAGACAGGGTATTGCTAGGTCACCTGGGTCAGACTTGGCTCAAAGTTGTAATTCTCCTGCTTCAGCTTCCCAGGGCGTGGGCTGCTACACTTACACTTTAAACGAGGTAGAGTTAAGGAAAACAGCCAAGAGGAAGAAACAGATACAGAGCTGGTTTCCAACAGATCCTGAAATTTTCTTTTTTGGTTTCTTGAGACAGGGTCTCACTATGTAGTACAGGCTGGCCTGAAACTTGTGGTGATCCTCCTGCCTCAGCCTCCCAAGTGCTAGGTTTACAGGTGTGTGCCACCAGGCCTGCAGATCCTGTGATTTTCTTAGAATGACCACACATGGTAGATGTGGCTTATAAGAGTATATCAGGCATTGTCTCAAAACAAAAACAAAAAAGGGAGAGAGAGTACCTGGAGCACCAGTCCATCCAGCAGTACTTGGTACCTGGTTGTCTCTTTCACCACCTTGCTGAGTCTCTGCTTTGCTTCGGTTAGCAGGTCCTGCGGAGTGGAAAGGAACAGTGAGGTACACGTCGGGGTAGTTAGGGCAGCGTGCCATGAGAGGCCTCGCTTCAGGCACATGCTAAGGCAGGCGCTGTGCTCAGTCCCACAGGCGGCAGCTAAAACGCCCCCGGTGCTCCTGCTCAGAGCTCAGCCTGGCAGAGCACTATATGACAGCTCTGCGAGCACGCTGCTGCAACGGTCAGATGAGGCTGTGCCTTGCCTTTTGCCGTCCTGGGGACAGAATCCAGGGCCTTGTGCACGCTACACCTTGGCTCTACCACCGAGGTTTAGCTCCAGCCCCACTTGAGGACAGATCAAAGTAGCAACCATTTATCTCTGGGAGGCTAGATTTTGACACATGCCTCTTTAAAAAACAAAAAAAAAATTCATTCATTCATTCATTCACTGGTGCTGGGAATTGAATTCAGGACCTCAGGCTTGCAGGGAAAGCGCTTATGCCGCTGAGCTATATCCCTGGCCCTATTTTTTATTTTTTTATTTATTTATTTTTTTTTTGGTACCAGGAATCAAACTCACAACCTCACAGTTGCCAGGCAGGCGCTTATACCACTGAGCTAAATCCACAGCCGAAGGGAAACTAGATTGTGAATGATTTTATTTACGCTGGTTTGTACTTTCTTGTTTGTCTATAAGGAAAATTGACTTCTATAATGAAAAGACAGGCGCGGTGGTCCAGCATTCTGGGATCACAAGTCTGAGCCCAGAGTTCAGGCCAACCCAACCAGACACACAAGACCTCGTCTCAGAAAAATGAAAACCATAGAGCCATGCACAGCTGGTGAGATAATACCACCAGTGGGAAAAGAAAATCGCTATCATCTGATAACCTGTTTAGAGACGAAAAATGATTGCCCCATTTAGACTTTTTCCCCAATCCTAAGGATTGAACCCTGGGCCGCTGCAACTGAGCTATACCCAGTCCTTTTCCAATTTTTTTAAATTTTGAGGCAGGGGTCTCACTAAGTCCCTGAGTTCCCCTGGCTGGGCCTGAACTTGCGATCATCCAGCCTCAGCCTCCTGCGTGCTGGGATTACAGGTGCGCACCACCGTGGCCAGCTTCTGGGGGTCTACTTCTCACTGCCCCTGCTACTCCGTTACTCTGGCACGGGGGAAGTATGCGTCTCTCTGCACTCTCTGTGAACCCACTGACTTTTCCGGATGAACTACTAGTTCTGCACGGACAGTCTTATGTGCAGAAAATGGAAACCGGTTCTTCCTTCCCAGTGTTTATCTTCATTCTCATTTCAGAAGGACTCTCAGGCCTCCGCAGTAAGGAGCAGCAGTGGAAACGCAGGTACCTGCCAGGTTCCTGAATATAGCTCCAGCCCCTGAAGCCCTCCTCCAGGAAGTGCTGCGCTCCGTAGGCTTCCGGCCTCCTCCTCACGTGGCCGGGATGCTCCCCACACGTCTTCCTGGCTCTCGGCTCTCCTGGTCACACTGCGCCTGCACCCTCATACCGTGGCCCGGCCGGTGCACAGCTCAGAACAGAAGCTTCCACGGCTCTCTACCGCCCGCGGGCAGCTGCTCACAGCCCCCCGCCCCGCCCACCTTTCCACCTCGGGCACGCATGCGCCCACACCTCGGTGCTGCGGAGAGCCTCCTGCTCTGCAGGTCAGCAAAGTCCTTGAAGTCGGGGCCTACCTCTTCCTTATGTCTGCATCTACCACACAACACCTAGCAACAACCCGACAAGTGATTCACCGACTCCTTAATGTGGACAAGTGACTCCGCACAATGGGTGAATGAATAAACATTTTATCGCTTTGTAACTGACAGCTCTAGTTACTCACAGTGATGAGGTCATCTCTTGCTCGGAGGACTTTCAGCCTCGCCTGGTTCATCAAGTTGGACATCTGACTGCAAAAGTGAGGAGAAAATAGTATCAGCACACAGCACAGCAAACAGAAACTGGAGGAAGAAATATACAGCTCCCTCTGCCCATACAACGAGGACCTGATAAGCAACAAAGAGCTCTCTTTCCAAGGGAACCATACTGAGATACACACAGGTTTCTACCAACTTATTTTCAAAGATAAGGACAGCTAGGCATGGTGGCAAATGCCTATAATGTAATCCCTGAACTTGGGAGGCTGAGTCAGGAAGATCACCTCAAATTCAAGGCCAGACTGAACTACATAAGAGACCTTATCTCAAAAATAAAAACAAGGATAAGGACATATTTAATGAGTGCTTACCACCTGGCTAGGATCTGCACATTAGTTTTTTCAATTTACTCTTTCAACACTCATGTGAAGGTGGGGGATGTAGTTCAGGGGTAAAGTGCTTGTCTAGCATGAGCAAAGCTCGAGCACCACAAAAGGGAAGAGGCTTCCGCCTTCAAAAGGAAAGAAGGGTCAGACAAGAAGTAGATAGTCAGAACTGGACTCCAAAGTGCCTGCAGCCCTCTCGTCCAGAAGAGGGTGCTAGGCTTGGACCCAGGCCATCACCCTCACCCAGGAAGAGCAAGTCCCCCAGCACTCATCGGCAGCCTCAGCCCTGTGTACTTTTGAAAGCTCTCTCGCTTCCTGCTGTGGCCACGATCCACCTACATTTTCTTCTGCTGCTCAATCTGCTTTTCTTTCTTCTCATAGTATTCCATGATCTTCAGCCTTTGGGTTTGCACGAGGCGACCTTTCTCAATGTTGAACTCTTCTTCTGCCTACAAGGGAATGGATTAACATTAATTCATACATTAGATTTGGGCAAACAGTTTTTTTGCTTCTTTTATTTTTTTGAGGTAGGCTGGCCTTGAACTCACTATGTAACCCTCGCTGGCTTTGACCTCATGGAAATTCTCTTGCCCTGGTCTCTTGAGTCCTGGGATTACAGAAGTGCACTACCACATCCAGCAGTCTTATTTTCAGCAGCTAGTGAGAAGGGGCATTTGCTTATGACCACTTACTCCACATCTGAAACAGCAAAGTTATTGTGGTGCTCATCTTCAAACTGCTAGTTTATTTGAAAAGAGCAGTGCTTTTACTATAAACAGTGAAGCAGAAGAGTAAATATTTTAATCAGGGGTTACAGTACCCAAGTCAGAGGTGCTGGACTATGCCTGTAATCCCAGGATTCTGGGAGGCTGAGGCAGGAGGATTGCAAGTTCAAGCCCTGCCCAAACAAAACTAAAAACAAAAACAAAAAAAGGGGTGCTGACATAGCTCAGTGTGGAGAACCTGGACTCAATCTCCTGTACTGGCCCTCCTCAAAAAGGTACTGCCACCCAGCCCCAGAGGTATAAAGGTATAATCAGAAGATCCTGTTCATGAAAATAAAACTTATATAAATGACATAGTTTATACTTAATCTACTTTCTCATTCACGGGCTAATGAAAAGAACATAGAGTTTGGTTCATTGCCTATAAAATTTGCTCAGTAAATTCAGTCTTAATGACCCGTCTCGTAAAATGAGATGATTAAAAACAGTGTCCTTTCATTAGCTGAAAAAATATGACGGGTTAACGGTCCCTTTTAAGTTATAAATTACGCAAAATACATTATTAGTTTCATTTAGTGTGAGTTACTGAGCCAACACACTTAAAAAATGTTACCTTGGCAATATATTAGGGGTCTACGATTTTCAAGCATTAAGAAATTAGGATTATGGAAAATTTAGCCAAAGTTACTAACTCAGTTGTTTACGCTTGGCACAGGTACTTGTAACACTCTAAGGTAAATACCTTCTCCTAGCACTTTCGAGGCTGACGCAGGAGGCTTGCTCCAAGTCTGAGGCCAGCCTGGGCTACACAGTGAGCTCAAGGCCAGCCTGAACTACACAGGGAGACCCTGTCTCAAAACAGAAAGAAAAAAAGAAATTATGTTAATTGGTATAAACAATGTGCAATCAGAAATATCTATAAGTTAAAAATTTTAAAAACTTCTGCAATATCAGGGATTGAACCTGGAGTCTTCATACTAAACTACTGCTCAGTGTTTTCTTTATTTTTATTTTTTGAGAAAGACATGAGCCTCCTAAGTCCATAAGTTGGCCAGGCCAGGGTAGCGTTTATGCCCCTTCTGCCTCAGCCTCCCAGAGCGTTGAGATGCTGTTGTGTGCCGCCATGTCTGAAAAAAAAAGGGTCGTTTTTAATGATGGGGGGTGGTCTCACTAGGTTTTCCAGGGTGGTCTTGATCTCCCGGACCAAAGCATCTGCCTGCCCCCACCTCCTAAGTAGATGGGACTACACGTACATACAACTGTGTCTGGCTTACAACAAATTTAAATGATAGCCAGGCATGGTGGCATACTCTTATAATCCGAGCACTCAAGAGGACAAAGCAGGAGGTTCATCGCAAGTTTGAGTCCAGCCTGGGCCACACAGTGAATTCAAGGCCAGCCTGTACTACAAAGTGAGACCCAGTCTCAAAAAAATAAGGCCAGGCATGGTGTACACCTGTAATCCCAGTACTTGGGAGGCTGAGGCAGGAGGATTGCCATGAGTTCGAGGCCAGACTGGGCTACACGGTGAGTTCAAGACCAGCCTAAAGTGCACAGTGAAACTGTCCCAAAGAAAGAAAGAAAGAAAGAAAGGTTTACAACTCCCTACAATTCCAATAAATATTCCCCTTCTTTAAAAAAATAATAATAACTTTAAATGCTAAAAAAAAAAAAACTTTAAATGCTGCCAGGCATAGTGGTGGTACACCTGTAACACCAGCACTCTGGGAGGCTGAGGCAGGAGGAGGGCAATTTTGAGGTCAGCCTGGTTACCTTAGCAACTGTCTCTACATAAAAAATAAAAAAGGGCTGGGAATGTAGCTCAGTGCAAAGTCCGTGAGTCCAATCCCCAGTACTGGGGGGGAAAAAAAAGCCTGTAAATGCTGTCACTTTTGTGATATACAAGGGCTCTCATTTTATGCTGTATATACTTGCAAACTTCACTTTGTGCAGCACACTCTTGTTAGAAAAGCAAGACAAAAACAGAATACTACACCCTGCCCCAGCCAACTATTACAATAATCACAGATACTAAATGTCTGACTTTGGGATTCCATGAGCAAATGAACCCGTTTATTACTTTTCTACCCACCACATAAATTTCAGTACGCTTAATAGCAATCAGAACTTTTAATTTGCAGTGAGGATTGAACCCAGGGGCCCCTGCGTGCCAGGCAAGCGCTTAACCTCGGAGCCACATCTCAGCCCGTCAAATTTAGCATTACAGATGCAGACATCATCTTACGAGCTCTACATGATGTACTGTTAGACAGTTTAACCATGGCATTGGTTAGCAAAACAAAGCAGTACAAAGCTTCCGGAACTTCTTAAAACTAGAAAATAGAACTCACCTTTGCATCTATTTCTTCTGCTTTCTCATTGGCTTCTTGTTCAATGAAAGCCATCATGTGCTTAATCTGTTAAGAAAAATACTAGTTTTGAATCAAAAAGGGAAGAAAACGTAGTATCTATCTTTTTTGATTTATTCAGTGATTACCAGTTAAATACATATCATGTGCCAGTTGTTGAATACAAGGATAAATAAGATAGTTTCTGCCCTCAGGAAAACTTACAATTAGGAATATTTTCCAGCAAATGGGCAGGATGCCTTCTTTAGGTGTGTGTGGGGGTACCGGGAATTGAACTCAGGACCTTGTGCTTGCCAGGCAGGCGCCACACCGCTGAGCTACATCCCCAGCCCCAGATGCTGTATTTAACAGCACAGATACACAGCACCACCCAACCCTCCAGCAACTGGGCTGTTTCAGAGGATGCCACACACCTCCTCCCCTTCAGACTCCTTCAGCCACCACCGCCTCGCCCCTGTCTCTAACAAAACATGTCCAAAAGCCACCTACAAAGCGGGCTGGTGGCGCAGGCCCGGGGGAGGTGACGCAGAAGGACTGCAAGTTCGAGCCCAGCTGGGGTAACTCAGTGAGACCCTGTCCCAAAATAAAACTTTTGAAAGGGCCTGGGACGTACCTCAGCGCAGAAGATCCTGGGTTCAGCGTGCAGGGGAGGGGCGCCTCCGTTTACCGTCAGGTCTCCACACCTCCACCCGACCGAGTGCTCTCCCCAAGGTGACCGCAATCCCCTCGCCCTAGACCCCGCCCCTGTCTCAGACCCCGCCCCTGTCTCTGGATGTGACGCCGGCCTTCCTTTGGCTTCCAGGGTGCCCTCTCTTCTTCCTCTTCCAGTCTCCTTTGGGGCCACACCCTCCTTGTCCTGTTCCTCAGACAGCTTTCGGGGACAGTGCCGTTCCCACAGTGACCCACCTCACACTCCCCTTAGCTGCAGTCCCTCTCTACTCCACGCTGCGCTCAGTCCCAGCCTGGTCCTCGCAGCCAGTCACCAAGCCCGACTGAGTCTCTCTCCAGCACTTTACTTTTTAAATCTGCCCACAGCCGCCGCCCTCGCTGCTGCCATCACCTCTCAGTTAAATCACTGCAACAACGTCTAAATAGCTCCCTGCCGCCAGCCCGGCTCCTTAAAAAAGGCTGGCCTGGGCACAGTGGAGCACACCTGTAACTGCAGCACTTGGGGGCTGAGGCAGGAGGATCTCCTTGAGTTTGAGGCCAGCCTGGGTTATACAGTGAGTTCAAGGCTGGCCTGAATTACACAGCAAGACCCTGTCTCAGAAAACACACACGCAAAAAGCCAGCTTCTCACGTGTCCCTCCACTCCTCTTGAAGCACAGATCCTAGAAAGGGCATCACCCGATCCCTCTGCCTTTCCAGCTGCACACTCAACAAACCCGGCACTACTCACGGCTCCTCAAACGCTTCGTTCTTTCAGTCCCTAGAGCTCACCGTTCTTCCTTACCTCCAAGACTCCAAACCTCGCCACCTTCCTAACATCTCCAGCCTCAGCGTAACTACCACCTCCTTCGTGAAATCTCTCCTGAACGTCTCACCATGATCACCCGGGCCAGGCAGTCGGCACTTCCACCACCACAGTGACTCAACACTTTCCACAACCAAACTACCAGGCCGGGGACCTGGCAAATACTGTTTTGGCTCGCTGGCTACAACTGGAGAATAAAGCCCACTGCAGACTTCTAAAAGGACTTTGGCTGGGTGTGGTATGCACCCCTGTAATCTTGGCACTTGGGAGGCTGAGGCTGGAGGATCTCTGAGTTTGACGCCAACCTGGCCTACACAGTGAGTTCAGGGCCAGCCCTGTCTCAAAAACAAACAAAGAAAACAAAACAAAACAAAACAAAACAAAAATAGTCTGTAGAAAGAACAACCGGACCCGGGGCTGGGGCTCAGTGGCCCAGAATGTGTGCCTAGCACACACTAGGCCCGGGGTTCAATCCCAGCATGACTACCAAAAGGAAGCAGAAATACAGACAGTCGTTCTTTTAACAAGATTCTTAGCAGCCACACCACCCTTGTGGAGCTAACACACTTCGACAGTCAAAAGCTATTCCACAGATTATGCAACGCTTACAAAACCTCAAGTCTTGGAAAACGTGGGGTAACTGAGTCAGGTGCGACTAGGGAAAATCACTGATCTTGTTTAAAGATCAGCCCCACTTAGAGGGGGTGCATGTGGTCAGACAGAGGAGCGGTGTTTCCACTAGGAAGATAGCCCAGCGTCTGGAATTTCAAGGAAGTTTAACTAGGGCTGGGCTTGTGGCTCAGCGGCAGAGCACTGGCCTGGTCCGTGGGAGAGGGCCTGGGTGGTTAGTCGTTTAACCAAACACTCATCAAAGACGGTGTTTGTGAATGCCACAAAACACACGACCGGCCTCCAAAGGTGAACTCATTCTAACCTGCACCACCTGCCTCCACCCCTGCTGCTGGACTCCCCGCCACCAGATTTGACTTGATCAGCCCAGCCCAAAGCAAAAGGCACTCCGGTCACCAAGTCAGAGAAGGCTATTTACAGTCAACCAGGAGTTCCAGACCAGGAACTAGCCCAAGCCCTTCAGGACATTTAACTCCACTCCTTTAAAAAAAAATTACTTTTCTTTCTGCTAACCCAGTAAATTAAAAAAAAAAATTTTTTTTGGAGTCAGCTTCCTTCAAATCTTTGACAAAATAATGGGCTGGGGTGCAGCTCAGCGGAAGAGTGCTCATCTAGCAGGCACAAGGCCCTGGGTTTGATCCCCAGCACCACAAAAATCCCCCAAACAAACTCTGCCTCATGGCGTTTACTTGTGTGTGGTGGGGGACGGACAGTAAACAAGCTTTCCTCGTTCCTTCCACTTCACATAAAGTAAAAACGACTTCGATAGCCACACAGGGACAAACACTGCTTCACTCCTGCGCCGCAGCAGTCCTGCGAAAGCCTTACTCTTACCCTAACAGGCACAAAGACGAGAACACGAGGAAGGAGGGACTCAGCATGAGGACTGCTAAAGGCCAACCGGAGAGGCCGGGCGTGGTGGCGCACACCTGTGATCCCAGCACTCGGGAGACCGAGGCAGAAGCATCCCCAAGAATTCGAGGCCAACCTGGGCTATACAGTGAGTTCAAGCTAGCCTGATTTACAGGGCAAGCCGATCTAAAAAAAAAAAAATGTGGAAGGCACTGTACTTTGCCACTGTGCCAAGTTTAAGTTTTTCTTATGCTCAAAATCAGAAGCAATGGTAACTGCTCAAGGCGTCATTTTCTGTAAAGGTACTGGAGATTTCTTAAACGTCTCCATAGATGCTATTTTTGTCATCTATACTTGCCGTTATTTACACAAATCCAAAAGAGATGAACCTCCTCGCTTTTCTTAGTGCATATTAGGTTAATAAAATGAAATGACATTTTTTCAAAGGAATGGAAACAGTGAATGAAAAAAATTTTATTGCTCATCTAAGATTCATAAACCAGTGCGCTTTAGTCAGAGAATTTTCCTAGTACTTGGAAAAAAGCAGTTAGTTCTCTAACCCTTGCAGATATAATACTGCAGCCTTAAACTTTCTTCTCTGGGAAAACTACTGGCAATATGACTAGTAAATGCAACGACTGTGCTTTCAGGATGTCAATTAGCAAGACAAGTGGAAACCGCTATTTCTCTGGTTATATATGTATAAATAATCTACAGATCTATACCACCCCCCAGAGGCTTTCTGCCATATATATACATATATACATATACATATATATATATATATATTTTTTTTTGAGACAGGATCTCACTATGCAGTTCAGGCTGGCCTTGTGCTTATTTTGTAGCCCAGGCTGGTCTTGAACTTCCCACGATCCTCCTGCCTCAGCTTCCCGAGTGCTGGGATTACAGGCGTGCACAACCATGCCTGGCTACATTCCTCTTTTTGAGAGAGGAAGTCTAGCTTTTTGGATCAGGCTGGTTGTGAACTCCTAGATTCAAGAGATCCTCCTGCCCAGCTGCCTCCTGCCCAGCTAGGATTACAGGCGCACTGTCAGGTTCCTAATGCCCACAAACTTGAAGGGATGACACATATTCAAACACTGAACAAGTTAACCCAGGACTGATTATACACTTTCAAAACCGATGTAATTTCACGGCTTGCATAACAATTTTTTTCCATACTCCCTGACTCACTTAATTTGTGCCAAACACTGGTGTAAGCTTGGGCTTACAAATGTAAAAAGGGGTTCTGCATTAGACAAATATTAACCTACAAAGTTGATTCATTAGCTTCAATATGATAGAGGAGACTCTCCCAAGATGAAGATTCACAGTTCACAAAATGAATGACCTCAGAACAACATCGGAAGCTGCGCTCTAACCTCAGTATAGTTTCTTCCCCTTTTTTTTTTTTTTTTTT